TATCTCTGAATTTAATCTAATAGAACTTTGGATTGCCGAGGGGCTTGTGGAAGATATGGATAGCCAACAAGCAGAGTTTGACGAGGGGTATACCATACTTAATAAACTCAAAAATAATTGCTTGTTAGAAAATGGTGAATTTACCAGACATGTCAAGTTGCATGACCTCGTGAGAGACATGGCACTATGCATCACGAGATCACGATTCCTGGTAAAAGCCAGCCTGCAATTGAAAGAGATACCACATGTGCAAAAATGGACAGAAGATTTAGAAAAGGTTTCATTGATGAGTAATTATGGCTTGCGAATTCCATCACAAATGTCACCACCAAAATGCCAGATGCTTAAAACTTTATTGTTGCCCTTTTGCTGGATAGAGAGTATTCCAGATTGTTTCTTTGAGCAAATGAAGGGACTCAAAGTTCTTGACCTTTCTGGGAATAATTTTACAATTTTGCCAAGTTCCATCTCAAATTTGGAAGCTCTCACTGTATTATTGGTAAGAGGATGCCCTTATTTAAGGAAGGTGCCATCTCTCTCAAAACTTGAAGCTTTAAAGAAGTTGGATCTCAAAGACACAGCAATCAAGAATTTCCCGCACGGGATGGAAAGGTTGGTAAATCTCAATTATCTTCATCTGGATGTGAAAGAAGTCCCTAGTGAAATATTATCAAAATTCTCAAGGCTGCGAAACTTGGGGGTAAGTTATGCATTTGTCAAAGGAGAAGAGATAGGTGAGTTAAAGAAGTTGGAGTTCTTTGAAGGGAGGCTTTATGACTTGAATGAATATCATACTTTTGTGCAAGCTTTGCAGAGTCGAGGACAAGGGCTTATTCGATACCGCATGGGTGTGGGTGATAAAAAAGTCTCTAGTGTCTGCCAATGGGATAAATACATTGAATTATCTCGTTGTAAGATCTGTAGAAATGGTGTCAAGTTCCCATCCGATCTTCAGCAATTGAGAATTAACTATGCCATTGTTGATTTCCCTGAAGAAGAGGTGTTTTTCCCATGGTTTATCCCAACGCCAAATGGCAAATTTTCTTTTCTTAAAGAAATTGATATATATAGATGTAAAAATATAAAAAAGTTGTTCACGTATTGTTGGGTGTTAAGTAACGTCCAAAATCTGGAAGTGTTACGTGTTTGGAGATGTGACCAAATGGAGGAAATAATAGCATTGGAAATTGAAGAAGAAGGAATGGGCAGCAGTAACAGTAATACCATCCAATTTTCTCTTCCCAAATTGAGGATATTGGACTTGTGTTATTTACCGGAACTGAAAAGTATTTGTAATGCAAGTGGAGTAATGGTTTGTGATTCTCTTGAAGAGGTTCATATCCAAGATTGCCCAAATTTACAGAGGATGCCTCTGTATCTTCCCCTGCTTGATGATGGCCAACCATCTCCTCCTCCCTCTCTTAAGACATTCTTTATATCTCCAAAGGAGAAGCTGACATCGATGGAGTGGGATCATCCCAATGCCAAGTCTGTGCTAGAGCCATTTTTGAAATACCAACGAATCATCAGATCCTCACGAATCAGATTCTGAGTCAGATCCAGAATCAGATGCAAGTCTGCCTAATGATGGCTAATCATCTCTGCCTCCTCCTCTCAACCGAATCCTTTTATCTTCAGGGGAATAGTGGGATTCGAAGAAGTAGACCATCCCAATGCCAAGTCTCTATTTGAGCCATTTATTACGCACTGGAGGCTCTGATTTGTATATCTCTCTCCTTATTTGCCTGACAAGAATGGTATGTAACTCAATAAAGCATCTCTCCTTTTTCATATTTCTTACATTATGTTGTTTGATTTCAAGCATCTCTCTTTTGATTGTCTATTCAATTGGTGGTGAGAATCGTGAGATGCTCCTATTGCTACCATCAAAAGCAAGTAGCCACATCTGATTGTTTGTTCATTAGTAGACCTCTATTGCATTCCAATTTCAGATATAATCATATGTTATAAGCTGTTCGATTATCATTATTTTGTTTACTCTCTCGAGGGAAAAGCATCTATCTTGTCTGTCAACCCTTTAGTTTGTTCTCTCAATGATTGAGAACAAATTCACTACAATCTGGATTTTTAATCGGAATTTTGTGCTTTATTTGGCATCACAAATGCAGCTTGATCGCAATGCTATACGAGATATTGTTAAGGTGAAGCATGCTTGTGTGCATGATTGTCAACAACACAGTCGTTGCCTAGGTTTTCTCCCAAAGTTTGGTCTGCTGTATGCCACAAGCCGTCATTTGTTAGTATGCAAGTGAAGGAACAAAGGCAGGTGAATTCTTAGGATCCCGTGAAGATCTTGCTGCTTTCAAGCAAGCCAGTGAGGAAGTTGCAGCAGAAGGTGTGAAAGAGGAAGAAGGGAAGATTACTAAACATATGTTTCATGAAGCAGCAGCTAATGGTATACTCTGTTCCTCATCTTATTTTCTGTTTATTGTCGGAAATTTGTCCATGTTCTTCATCTCTTGAATTGTCTCTCTTTTCTATTTCAAGTGAATGATTTTTTCAAGTAATGAGAATTTGGAGTTTTCTTTTGTCAAATGAGATGAATCTCGTTCAATTTCTATTAGAATTTTGCTTCTTAGCTCTTTTTAGAACAGGGAATTTAAGATCATGTTCTAGGTCCAACTGTTTTTTGCAATAGCACTTCCCTTCCTGCTTCTGTGATTGGAACAAACACTACAATCTGGATTTTTAATCAGAATTCTGTGCTTTGTTTGACATCACAAATGCAGCTAGATCGCAATGCCATTCGAGATCTAAGGATGGCATCATTTACCAGCCAGCCACAATGGTACCTGGGGGTGATATTGTAAATGTGTAGCATGCCTGAGTGCATGATTGGCAACAACACAGTCATGAGCTAGGCTTTCTCCTAAATTAACCGCAAGTTTGATCTAGTGTATGCCTAACAAAACTTCATTGATTAGAATGCAAGTGAAGGAATGAAGGCAAGTGAATTCTCATAAACCCGTGAAGGTCTTGCTGCTCCCAAGAAAGACTGTGAGGAAGCTAGAGCGGAGGGTGTGAGAGGAAGAAATGAAGATTACTAAACATATATTTCATGAAACAGCAGCTAATGGTCTACTCTGTTCCTGATCTCATTGTTACTTCATCAGCTGTTTATTGTTGTAAATTTGTCCATGTAATACATCCCTTGATTTGTCTCTTTTTCTATGTGAAGTGAGTGGTTTCAATTGTGGTTGTGAGAATTTGGAGTTTTGTGTTTTACAATGAGGTGAATCTCTTTCAATGTTTATCAGAATTTTGTATCTTGGCTCTTCTCAGGACAAAGAACTTAAAACCATGTTCAAGGTCCAATTCTTGACTCAAGTGATTTCAATATAAACTATACTTGCATATTTTCATAGAAGGAAATTGAATCTTAATGGATGGTTGTGGAATTTGTCCACAAGATGGTTCGCTTAAACATTATACCACTGCTTGTGTAGTTTCTGCAGTTTACATCGAAAAGGAAAGAAAGAGGACAGAGAGGAGTTCTATGAGATGATCACCTTATAACTATTTAGGAGTAGCTTAACACTGATTGCAACTGAAAAAGTGCAGTAAAAATGTCAAGGCTTGGTTCGAAATGCTAGTGGCTTTCAGCATAAAGAAATCCCCTGTCAATGTTGTTTTCACAAATAAAAGTGCAAGCTAGGTCAAGCTCATACATGTGGTTCAATGGAACCTATTCTCTACCATGGTAAGGAAAAATCCCGTGGCAGCTGGAAGCCTTCAGAAGAAGGAATCTGTTTCTACGAGAGAAGCAGCAGCAGAAAGGCATCGAAGAAATCGAAATATGCAAACCATTGCAGTGGTTTAAATATCTTATAACTTGACCAAGCTTGCAGTAATTGATTGTTTCCATGTTCTTAGACAGAAATTCCGGTGGCTATCAATCCAATCATCTGATGCATCAGCCACCTTTAGGTTGATGAGCCATTATTTACAGAACACAGTACACGGTACCTTAACCAACTGGGCTTTTAATTTTTATTTTTATTTTTTATTTTCCACATATCAAGAAGGTAATCATGAATTAGACTATTTAGGGTGTGCACAAGCATGCATTCCTGCCTCGACGGCTAACGTTTAGATGTATCTTGTACAAGAAAGATTTTTATTCAAAACTGCTTACCTGAACTACTGGATTGTTGTCCAGCTTCAAACAAGAAAGATTGGAGAGTGACTTCAAAATTGCAACCGGCAAGTCTTTAATATTGTTGACAGTCTAAAAAGAAAATTGGAGGATTTAAATGCCTTGAAGGAAGACACTGAATCAAGAATGAGGGCAGAGCTGTATCCGAGTAAGAAACTCAAGAAAGAAGTTCATCTATGGTTGGGGATTGTTGAAAGAATAAATGGTGAAATACAAAACCTCGAACAAAGAGTTAAGAAAAGCAGTGCTGTCTCATGTGGAATTCACACAGAAAGACACAAGAAGTTGAGGAACTTCTTCAACAGGGTAAATTTGATCAAGGTTTGGTAGTTGATAACCTTACGAGGATTGGTCAAGCTTTGTCAACAACAACTTTACTCGGGAACGCAGCAGAGCTTTGTATGAAAGAAATTTGGGCATACTTGATGGATGATGATATTCGAAAGATTGGAGTTTGGGGAATGGGAGGAGTGGGTAAAACAACAATCATGAAGATCATCAACAATCAACTTTTAAAAGAGGCTCAAAAGTTCAACATTGTGATATGGATCACTGTATCGAAGGAGATGAACGTGTCCAAGATTCAAAAATGCATCTCACGTGCAATGGGATTTACCCTTCCTGACGACGAGGATGAAACAATAAGGGCAGGGGTGCTACACGAAATGTTGACTCGAAAAGGTAAGCATGTGTTAATTTTAGATGATCTATGGTATAAATTTTCTCTTGAAGAAGTAGGAATCCCCGAGCCATCTAATGAGAGTAAGTTAGTAGTGACAACTCGTATGTTGGATGTGTGTCGCTATTTGGATTGTCGAGAAGTTAGAATGCCTACTCTTTCGAAACAAGATGTATTGAGTTTATTCTTAAAGAAAGTAGGTGGGGATGTTCTTAATTATCCAGATATATTACCAATTGTGGAATCTATTGTTGAGCAATGTGCTGGTTTACCCTTAGCTATAGTTACAGTAGCTAGAAGTATGAAGGGCATAAGAAACGTTCATGAATGGAGGAATGCACTAAATGAATTAAGTAGATGTGTAAAAAATGTGACTGTGTTAAATGAAAAGATATTTCAGCAATTGCAGTTTAGCTATAATAATTTAAAAGATGAAAAAGTCCAGCATTGCTTCCTCTGTTGTGCATTATATCCCGAAGATTGGGAAATCTATGATAAGGAGCTAATAGAACTTTGGATTGCCGAGGGGCTTGTGGACGACATGGATAGCCAACAAGCAGAGTTTGATCAAGGGTATACCATATTGAATTAACTAAAAAATAATTGCTTATTAGAATATGATGAATCTACCAATAACATGAAGTTGCATGACCTTGTGAGAATGGGCAGAAGATTTAGAAAAGGTTTCATTGATGAGAAATGATTCTTTACAAATTCCACCACAAATGTTACCACCAAAATGCCACATGTTGTTAAAGCTGTCCGATATGAGGTCCGATCCGATACCACTTGTCACGGGATCATTACTCTCTCTCCCATAAATACGCTTATGAGGGTATGCAGCACACCCGCTTATAAGGAGCCGAAGACCTCCCGTTCCTGTCCGATGTGAAATAAAAACACTTTTCTCGTGACACGCTTTATAAAGAGCATTCCAGATTATTTCTTTGAGCATATGAAGGGACTCAAGGTTCTTGACTTTTCTAAGAATCTTATTAAAACTTTGCCAAGTTCCATCTCTAATTTGGAAGCTCTCACTGCATTATTGCTTAAGGGATGCCATT